TGGTCTTTTCTTTAATTTGAAGTCCCCCTCTTAAGGGAAAGATTATGTCTGCGAATAAGACTCAGATTAGCTTTCCTGTTGATAGACTGGAAAATTAGGACAGGGCTTTGGTGGTTGGCTTGATGTGGTTAGCTCAGAGTCTGCTTCTACTGCTCTCACACTGCCCATCTCTGATACGGAGCAGGATATTAAACAACAGTGCAAAAAAAAACAAGTCAAATCTGAGTTGTAAACGTTCAAAAAGTCAACCTCAAATTAAAAGACCCCATCTTCCTTTAAATTAATTTCCTAAAAAAGATTTTCATAAATCTGATTTACTGCTTTATTCTTCATATTGATGAGACAGCACCATGCATGCACCATGTTTTATACTTTTCATAAAAGTGTTACATTTGGAGTCACCAGAAGTGTAAATGGGACAGGAAGCTGCTTTGTTAAGGATGTGGTCGTGCACAGACGTGTTAGTGGGTAAGACAGCAGTGTTGTGGCAGGATGGGCTGCCGTGCTGCCATTTTAAAAAAAAAGCATACATTCTCCACCAAGGGCTTTTCTTTTTCACTCCTGTAAACATAATTTATGTGTTTATTTTTTTGCCAGTGGATTATTTAAAGGTGGGAACAACTGTTTGCGCTGGTTAAACCAACTGTCCCACAGAATGCTTCATGTAAAGTTTCCACCAACACGAGGGGTCCCCTTTGTTTGATTACAGTTATGAGTCAGTCTACAGCAGGCTGACGTCACCGTCAGGGTTCAGTGGAGGGACGTGAGCTGCATCGCCACATGAAGAGATGCCTCAGTAACTCCAACGTGTTCTGCATCTGGATGCACTAAAGCAGGCCGGCTGAAATTTGACTGTGACACCTCAACACCCCTAAAACACTCACAGACATCAGGTTCAAGGGGGGGGAAATAACTCATCCTCCTGCTCTCCTGTAATCTGCGTCACGCTGGCGCACGGTCGCTGCACTGTTTGTGTTGACGTTAAAGGCTGGAGCCGTGCCATGGTGACACTGCACGGGGGGGGGGGGGGGGGGGGGGGGGGCTGAACCAAAGAGAGGTGGAGGAAAAGCCGACGGGGTGAAATGGGCACGGCTTCTGTGAGAGGCCAACACAGCGACAGATCAGACTTCAGTTCGAGAAAATCAATACACAGAGTTACAAAATGGCAGACATCCAGAACGATAAAGTAAGATTTAAATCTGAAGTACACAGAGAATAAGAACTGACCCCACAAAGAAGATATGAGAGTAAGACAGACCAAGAAACAGCTGTGTGTCTTAATGTAGGTTAAGCTAAATGACACAACATATAGAAACCTTTTTGATCGCTTTTTTTCTACTGAAATGTTGTGTTGCTCATTGGTCCTTTAGCCATAGAGAAAAAGGGTAAAATTCCAGGCTGTTTTTACTTTTCATATTTGTCAGCAGGCGTGCGGCTGAATAGCCCCTATCCTCTGTATCAAAGCTGAGGCCAAAACAGCTGGAGAGCATGTGCTTCTGCAACGTCCAATTATTTGCATCATTTTGAATCTGCGGGTTCAAAGAACAGGAGCAACTCTGAATCGGAACGCCGTGAGTGTCTCCACTCAACATCGAAAGAAGCTCCTGCAAACCACCGGGCTACGGGTGTCACTGAGGAGGAGAACAAAGCTGGAGCAGCAGCACAGGATGTTACTGTGTGGGGGAGAGTATGATAAAAAAAACATAAAAGAATTGCTTATCTCAGATTACTAAATGCTAAACAATTTGTGTAGTCATTTTTGTCTACATTTGTTTCAACTTCCATCACATTAAGCAGCAGCTGCTTGTCCATTGTGTTGTTGTCCTTGGAAGGCTTGGGCGTGAACCTCTGCTTCTCCATGGCTGGTCCCAGCTTCACAACACTGGATGGGTTATTTCTCGTATCAATTTTAAAAATCGGGGAAGAAATGAAGAGTATATCCACCTCTCTGAGACCAAACCTGCCACAGGAGGATCAGGCTGGAGAGCTGGAAAAAGTCAAAAGGCGGGAGCGGTCAGCAATGGAACAGAGACGCAATGTAAGAATAAAGAAAGAGGCAAGTTGGACAGCGGTGGCAAAATAGAAGACATAAATAGACCACTGAGTAAAGGCTAAGATGTCCATGGGTTTAACTAACCGGGATGGAACAATCTTTTTCATTGAATTTTTATCAAAAGCTTTATGTAAACAAGCTTTGTATGATCATACCTACTGAGCTTTAAAAGTGTAGTTGGTGCCCCTCATCGTTACACTTACACTTACTTAGAATTAACTGGTTCCTGGTTAGAACTGATTTTAAAATGATTATAAAATTTTAAACCAAATGCACAAGCAAGAGTCATATTTTCTCCAATTACATTTTGATCATTGGAATCTCATCTGCATTGTTTTTTTGTTTTGTTTTTTGCTCATTATCATCTTTTTATTTTTCCACTTAAAAATGTGTCAGTGTCAGCTGAATTGTCAACGCAGAGACCTGATTTATCTAAATGTGTGAAATGCATATTCCCAGGAGGGCCTTCAATTTGGCCCGGTAGCCTATTTTACCCATTATGTCAGCACTCCTGGGGAGAACATCCCATAATCTGCACATCACAGTGTCCTGGTCTCTTTCGCCTGTGTGTCTGACGATGTGCATTTGCCATCTGGACTCAGTGGTTGAGGTTGTGCAGCCTCACTGACGGAAAGAGAGACATTTTATCCCCGACTGGTTTCACGGCTCACTGTTTCTTTGCTTGTATCTAAAGATTAAATTCACCTCCGTGCAGTTTACTTTAGGTTTGTCATCTCAACTCTCATTTCGCTCCCTCCCTTTACTTCTTTGACAAATGAATCCTTTTCTCAGTAAACGCAAATATGAGGGTCATAATCTTCAAAGGCAGCTCTGCTTGTTTATTATGTGACAGATTTCCAGGGGCTGTGCACACGACAAAGCTCTTTGATCCAACGGACACGCAAAGTTCAAACCTTATCTAATCACGCCAATTCTGTTACCTGCTCTAAAAGTTCAAATTGATTTGTTGATCTTCATCCTCATCTCCTCTCATCAATGCAAAATGAATTATTGTAATCCAGATGTCTTTTCTCTTAAAACCTTTGTAGATTTATTGACTTTATTTGTGAGGAGACGAACAAGGGATCTGAATGACTTCAACATTATCGTATTTGAGTCTTCCAGTTTAATGTCCCTTCTCATGCTCACAAAACTGGTTATAAACTTACATGAAAGGGGACATTTTATGTTGAATGTGTGTTCAATGAAGAGGAGGGAGGGATGCGGGGATCCGTGGACTGGTCAACAGTCTGCATTGGTACAAAATAAAACAAAATATTACCAAAAGATCATTCATTATACAACAAACTTTGGAGTAAAACCCATGATTTAAAAAAAGTATGATATGTATGAAATGTATGACAATTATGTTGAAAGAATACACAATACACACATTTCATCATATGGTGTGTTGCTGATTGTCGCTGACCATGTGGACAGTCTGTTGTCGTAACCTTTAAGCCCGTTTTCCCCCCCTGTATTATCGCTCTAAGTGTTTGCCTCACCTTTCCCAGCTATATTTACGATTGCCCCTGAACCTTTGACCGGTGGTCTGCTGTTTGACTGTTTAAACTAAATCTTCCCCGAAAGCATATCTGTAAAGGTTGCCATGCAAACTCTCTTTCTCATGTGGTGGCTCCGCTTTAGTGAAGATTTGGTGTTGATAAAATAATATTTCTTTACCACGACTAGAACTGTTAATAGTAATTGTTAGCTGAGCTTCTCACATTAACACCAGTTCAAAGCTGATGTCAAATAAAAATCTAATTTACCAAAACTTTACTTGCTGCTGAACAAATCAGAACAAATGTGAAAAGTCTAAATCTGGCATTGGAACTGCAAAGCTGAGTTCATCAACATGATCTAACATCCCCCCCCACCCACAGCTCTGCAGAGGACCAGCTGTAAGCTGTTGTGCCCTGGCATTCATACTGTTCCTGAGATGGTATCACAATCCCCGCAGCCACTCATTTATCTTTATTCTGTGCTCGTCGCTTCGGCATTAACCATTTGTTTCAGTTTACCATCATCTGATTGACTGGAATTGACGTAGCCTTGAAAACTGGAACAAATACACAATCATCCGCTGTATTATCTTCTTCTGTTTGGGTTTGTTTCCTGATGCTGGCACACGATGTGCGTCTCCCCCTACATTTATTTCCAGTGGAGATGAATGACTGCGTCAGTCAGAGTGACGTTGTATGAGCACTCTGTCACACATGCAAATTGATCATTTCAATTTGAATTATTTTTCAAGAGCAACGGTTGGATAATTTTTACTTTGTTGTTTTGCCTGGTAGAATAAGTTTCACAGGGACACATTTAACTAAAGACATCAAGTCAAGCTTTTATTAATCTCATTCTTTCCTTTTGTTATTAATATTTGTTTCTATTTATACTGCTATTTTATGTATGTATTTTTTTATTGCAATGAAAATAAGATGAACATTAAGGAGGATTAAATTTAATTTAATGTGGTGAGTTTGAATCAAACTGGATGTTTACAGACGTTCATGTACATACCCAAATAAGTTACCAAACGATCACTCAGCACAAGCTCACACACACGTTTAACACACTCAACAGGTTAGACAATCTACACTTACATGACAACGGTTTGCTCGGTTTATTTAGTTAAGAGAAAAGGGTCACGAACATCACCTGAAGCTGATCACGTGCTTTTCACATCGAGAGGAAAGTCTCTCTTATTTGAGTCTGACAACAAACAATCCCCCCCATCTTTCTCTGAGAAATACGGAACTGTGAATAATCCACACTCAGCGTGAGCTTCTTTGCACTGTAGTTTCTGGGAAATCATTTAGTTTGAATGTTTCACTGACTACCTGTTCAGAGGGGTTGGACGGGATGGGGTGGAGGGTGGAGAGGGGGGAGGGTGGAGGTTGGAGGGGGGCGTTTCCAGCGTCTGGGACTCATCGATCTGCGCTGCTGCTCAGGAGCGCAACTGTGGCTCCGAGCGTGCCACACCAGACCGGAACCGCTCCGTTTAGTTTAGAGAACACCACACAAAGGGCCCGTACGAGCGCTCGGCTTTGGATCGAGTTCAAATGAACCGCTGCGTAACGGAGACGGCTGCGTGCAGGGGCTGGTGCGCGCTGGCACTGGATGGAAGCAAAAGATCTCTCCACTGACGGGCTGAGCTCCAGTTTAGACAAGACCAGAAAAAGTCTGAGAGCGTATTTCCGTTCACTGTCTCTCAGAATGTAAACGGGTTACAGATATCAAGTACAGTTACCAGAAGTGTTCGTTGTTGTTGTTGTTGTGCTCCCCCCCACCCCCCTCCTTCCAGCCGTGCCAATGCTGGAATGGCTTGTGGCTCTGTGCATTCTGATCCTGGTCGTTTTTATATGGCCGGGCTCCAAATATTTCGGTACCGGCCACCAGCCGGACGCGTTACTTCAAGGATTGGGCGTTTCGCGGCGCCCGGCCAAAGACTGGACAGGCGGACGGTGCGTATCGGACCGGCTGGACAACAGCGGTGCCCAGCCGGTCTCCGGGGGAGCTGCGCCCGGTCAGGAGGCTCGCACCGCGGCACTGGTGTGCAAACCGTCCGCCCTGGCCAACTACCTGCAGAAACACTGCAGGACTTTCGGTAACTACTGGCCAGTCGTCGGCTGGACCTGGCGGGCAAGCGCCTTTCTCCAAAGTGTGTACGAGGCATGCTGGCCGTACGAGAGCTCGGTCCAGTTTGTGCGGGACAACCTGCAGCTGAGCGACGATGGGCTGGTGTCGCTGGACTGGGCAGTGCCCTCCTACCAGAAAAGACGGAGGACTTCCAGCCACTCCACCAGCCCGGTCCTTCTCATCATTCCCAACTCTTTTGGGAAGATCACAAGGAATGTGCTGAAGGTAATCCGTGCGCGTTGCACCTTACAGACTGTAAAGTGGAAATAACACCATTCTTACAGGGAAAATACAATTAATGCAGATGTAATTTAAGAAATATTATGATTTGGTTACACCTAACAAGTTGAAAATACTAATACTATCTGTCATGTATCATGTTCTTTTACCCACGTTAGACAGATTTTGTACAGCTGGGAACTAACTCTGTGTCTTCATGATAATAAATGTCACCATAGGAGAAAATGCAGGTGTAAAACAGGTCTGTTTTCCTAGTATTTCATTTTATAGAATGTAAGTAGTGTTTTACACTCTTACACAACCCCAAAGAGAACGTGTCAGTATCTGAAATTGTGAATTTTTTTCTTCAGATCCAGAAACGCTTTTACTTTTGCCCCCTTCTGCTTTCGAATAGTATTTCACCAGTTCCGAGCAGAGTTGCATCACTAATTCAAAGATGCTGAGAGATGCCTGTGCAAATCACCAACTGCCTTTTGTGTAAGGCCGGCCTCTTGAGCTCAATCCAAGGGAAGGAAAAGAGCAGAGCAGTAAAAAGAAAAAGAGGGAGCAGATGCAGCTGCAGCCGGTCTTTAACTGCTCCTTCAATAGACTGACAGAGGTAATTGAGTGAGGGATCACAAAGCATCGCTTGACTGGTGAAGCCTTTTTGTGTATTGCTGTGCCACATCAATACCCGCTGGCTTTTTTCAGCATTCGGGGCACCTTGCGTCACGCTTCATTTCAAACTGTTAACCTTTGTGTGCCGGTCTGTCACCGGCTCACCGTCAGCTCTGTCAGAAGTAACAGCTCTGCAGTCTCATTTACCATAAAACAATCTGCGTTTTATGGTCCACCTTTGTTAATATAGATGAAAAAAAATTGTTGCATTAAGTTTATTGCAAGATAAATGTAAAGGGTGTAAGGAAAGTGAAACAAAAACAGAAAAATGTTGGACTCATTAAATTAAACTGTCACATTCAGACTGATCACCGCCTAATATTTTTCGTGTTAATCATTAGACGAGAATGTATTAGTGATGCTGTCAGGCAGTTTGCTTCAAAGGGACTGAAGTCGAGGAAGCATAAGGGACGAATGGCCATTACGATGACCCCTGTAACCGCTGAGTGAGCAAATGAAGAGCTGATGAAAGGAGCTCAGCCACACTCATGTCTTCATGTGTGACAGAGTAGGAAAGTTTTTTAACCCCACATGTGCTCTATACAGTTCTCCATCAGAGTCCCCCATTTCAGGAATATATTCATTGATATATTAGTCATCTCTTAAATTATTCACAATTTCACAGCTTTTTGTGTGTGTGTGTGTGTGTGTGTGTGTGTGTGTGTGTGTGTGTGTGTGTGTGCACATGTGCTTCACTAGTTGGCCCAGGTCATGTCCAGTCACATGGTGATCCATGTGGATGTTAAGCTAGACTAGAGACAGCATTTTCATATTCAGGTCACACCTTTAATGCATATGCATATATGAATTCAGAAATTCTTTTTCATCGAGCCAGTTCTCGTGGTGTTCTTTTAGTGTTTGTTGGCTTCTGCTGCTAAAGCGTTTTGTGTTCTTATACAGTCTGAGAGCAATAACGCAAAATAGCAGAGAACGTGTTTATTTGCTTCCGGCTAGTTTCTGACAATTAGTTGAAAGAATGATTTAGCACCCTCTTACATGGCGATGTGCAGCTGTAAAGAAACCCATCCGGCTCTGCTACATATTTTAATAAGTTGTACCTCTGCCAACTGTACAACTCCAGCCTTTTCTAAATCTCGCTTGCACACAAAGTGACAAACAGACATCAAGTAACAGTGACTCGCATATTCTGCCACCTCAGCTCTGATGTTGAGGAAGAACATTATACCAGAATTTAGCTCTGGGACATCATTTACGTCATCATCTACTTAATCTGGGCAAGAAATTAATTGAGGGGGGGGGTTTGTCTCCAGCCGAACCACACTTAAAAAGTTATCCCGTTATCTAATCTTGCTCTTTTGTGATATTGTTAACACCACTTGACATCATGAATTAATGCAAAAAGAAGCCTCTGCTTCTAAACGGAGTCAAATCCTGTGTTTCTACCTCGTGATCCAATGGACCAGATTAACATTGTGAAGCAGTTTATCTTAATGCTACCTGTGCTAAAACACTGGTGTTCTCTTAAGCCCGTTTATAAATAGATACCCCTGAATGACATTTGTTACCGCCATATTACTGAGAGATTAATTCAGATCAGGACTTTTGCAGCTTGCATATATATGCTGGCTGAAGTGAGTCTGAGGAGTGGAGCTAACACAGAAACACACATGCTCAAAAGAGGATGGTTATCAGGATGCACAATCCAGGAAAGGTTTGCTCGTTTAGAAACCATTGACAACATTAAAGCCCCGCAGCCTCGATGACAAAGGCCTTTTGATGGCAAGACAAGCAATCAAAACGTCATTAAGCATCATTCCGGCTGATCTTTGCTTCATGACATTGAAGCTTTAAACATATTTTGAAAGCACCTTTTTCAGTCTTTTATATCCATTAAAACGCAGCCTCTAGGATACGGTGTTATGCCTTTCTGTCCTGTTGTCATGTGACACACTAGTGGTATACAGACCCACAAAGTTGTAGCCAACATGGCATTGATAATAAGTCACGACTATGGACTCTACCATAATACTACCACTGCTGACGCCGTCTGAGAGGCACACGAGGTTCCACACAGGTTTGAAATGCTTCACATGACTACACAAAAAGACAGAGACAGATATGTTCCATAGTGAACGTGATGGGCCCATCACTCCCCCCCTCAAAAAAAAAAAACTCAACAAGTACAGCCTACCTACAAATAGGTCATACGGGTGCCAAGGAAAATAGTAATATAATGACAGAGAGACTTGTAGGAGCAAGCCCCTTATTCATAGATGCCTACAGAAGCCATAAATATCCCTGCAGGCAGACATCCAGCTGTTGCAATCGTCTCATCTCGTGTTCTAAACACCCATCCCATTTTCCTGACAGAGCAGATTTATTTATGCGAATGATGTCATGACCCAGTTACAGTGAGTTTGTGGTGTAAGTTCAGTGTTTATGCTTTAAGTGCTCATTTTGATGTATTCTCTATTAGTGAAAGGTATGCAGTGTGTTATAGTGTGGCCTTAAGGCGTTATCTACCCCGAACACTCAAATCATTTCCCTCTCTTGGTCTAAGCACAGAGACGGCAGCTGTTTTTCTTTGTTGATAGTCGTCGTGCAGCAAGACTAGACGATTTCACTGATAAAAGCAATGATTGTATCACTTTCACCTTCATGAACTGTACAGTTACTCAGTTTATCTGTCAATCATTGAGTTGCTTTTCTGTGATAGAATTACATACATTTAGGGAAGATGCAAAAACAAATTTTTAAGAAACAAAAATCTATTTTGCTTAGACTCAGACTTAGACTCCCTCAGGAAATTAAAGTTACTAGCATCTTACAGGGCAAAAAGAGTGGCACACAGAGAGCAAAATGCAAAAAAATCCAGATTAAGTACAGTTTAAGTACATTTTAAGTACTGCTGTTTCCCTCCTTTTAATCATGAAAATACTACAAAATACTACTACCACTGCTACAAATGCTTAACTTTAAGTTAAGCAGGATTGATATTTATTTGATCTGAGAATCTGGATCACTTGAACTGTAAACGTATAATCGCACATCTCGTGACCGGTTATGATGATTCAAGCTTTAGTTGAATATCAGACCTGTTGAAGAGATTTTAGATAAGCTCCTGAATTTAGGGGGGAATTAGTACAGCTGGAATTAAAGGGAACTGTGTGGCAGAGCCTTTTTGTTGGTTACGTCTTTGTAGTCCTGCCAGAACAGGGGCGTGTTGTCCAGTGTGGAGTCTGCACTGAAGGAATTTGTCACTGAGCTGACATTTAATCAGCTCTGACAGAAAAACTGTCTCGGCATCTGTTTCTTGCTCTCTCTATCTCTGCAATAAAACCAGCATCTCTTACCTAAATCAACAGCAAACCTCTTACTTCATAAACCACATTTGAGAAGTTTTGATCTGAAACAAAAATACAGCTATTGATGTATTTTTTATCAAACTACCTATGAATAGAATCCCCTGGCGGTCGTTGTTCTTCTTAAGGCGGCGTATGTCTGCTGCTCACAGTGGCTTCTGAGCTCATCTTTAAACATGAGTCATTCTGTATGCCTCGAGCAAAAAGTAGGTTTTAATGACTTAATGTGGGGTCTCCATTTTCTTTGGATTCAGGGAAATCTGACCAAAAACAATGTGAGGGCCACTAAAAATATCCTGGGTGTGCCCAGAATTTGAACAGCGGCCTGTTGTTGCTCATGTTTGCTGTAGATGTCTGATCTCAGCTTCCTTTATATGGCTGGATGAATACTCGAGCTGGCTGGGAGCAGCCGACCTAACCGATTCACACTCAGATCACCTCATTTCAACTCAGCTTGCCAGATTCATCACTCAGCCCCAGCTTTCACAGGCAGTTTTCGAGCTGTGGAACATCTAATTGTATAGCTATTTATCTTTGGGAATTAAGCAGAACTGATGTGATTCATATTCATATAAGCCTTCCACTCGTGTGCTCCAGTTGAATCAAAATGATTCAGATCCGCACGGAGGACTCTGAGCATGAAGCAGACGAATGAGTAAATGGATGATGGTGTAGTATATAGCTCAGCATTCTACGACCCAGTCTTAGCCTTACTGTGTAGCTGACACAGTAAAACATCTTTTCATATACAGAAACATAAATGGGTTAATCTTGCTGCAGTATTTCTCAACTGGTAAATATTTAATGCAGAAATTCTGCTGCCTCTGCTGCCAGTGGGATTTCCACAGTCTTGAAGCTAGAAAGTTATTTTGAATCCGTTAGCTAGATGATCACGGTCTAGGAGCAAGCAACCCATTATCAAAATCAGTTTATATGACAAAAGGTGTACAGAGACACATTTAAGGGAAATCTTTGTCACTGTGTTATGATGAGTAATTTATTCTAAGGTTAACATTCAGAGCTTATGTCAGGCACAGTGTTTTGTTTGCTTCCACTGTTTGCATCGGGAGCTTTTCAGTGGATCTTTGTATTACTTATCCATTGATTTCTCCTCTGAAGAAAACTATGCAGCCTTTAGAAAATAAGCTACATATAATTTATGTACATTTTTGTATGCACATACAAAACCTAATGATATTCTAGGGGGCAACAACCACAACAATAATGCTTCTGATACTATTGTTTGACATAATGACAGACCGCCAAGTTTTCTCATTTCATCGGACTGTATAGGAACCTTCAAGTGAGGCTAAATGTTAAAAGAATAGTTAAATACAATACCTTTCACTTTGGCTTACAGCTAGTTTTTCATGATGCTCAATCCAGACCAGTACCAGTGCTAGAGTTAATATGAAAAAGGAAAAGAGGGTAGTAAAGTTTTGTTTAATGGATTTTAAAAACAAGTGTTATTGACTGTATTACTACTAAATTATTAGCATTTGCTTACAGTAATTGATCCATTTTAATGATACACATTTCTCTTGCATGTCGGCAACATTTATTATTTAATCCTTTTTCTTTGGTTGCATTGGGTGCTGGAGCTTTTTCCAACTGCTGTCAGGCACAAGGCTCAACAACATTCAAGCAGCAGTAAAATGTGTGCTGAAGTAAATAATTCCTAATGGACTGATGAAAATCTTTGAATTTGTGTGAATAAAACATATTGAGTTTATCTTTTCTATTTCAGCTGTTTAGCAGTTACACACCACAGGCTGTCTCAAAATTTCACATTTGTGTCAAATAGATTAGTAGGAGTTAACCCAAAGGAAAGGTATTTCTCCTCTTCTTCTCTTGTTGCAGCTGGCTGAAAGATTAGACTCGTGATGTCATATCTCTACAAGGAATTCTTTCCACATTCATACCCAGTTTAGCTCTTAGCCTTGTTCAAGGACAGCTACAGACACAGCTTTCTGTGTACTTCTCTGGCATCACCTCATCTGAAATTCAGCCTAATATGGGCCCTCACCAAGGTCACCGAAGGAGCGTGCTTACGTTCTTCAGCCGAAGGCCAGGCGGCTTCATTCTGACACATGAACGTACGGCCGCATGTTGGGAGTGCACTGGCATTCCTGTGAATTACACGCAGGTAGATTTAGTGTTAGGAAAGTGAACAATGCAAAAAGGAAACAAATCTCACCCTATGAGACAGGAAGCTTTTGTCTTTTCAAACCACATATTTTCAAATGTTACAACTTTTTTGTTGAGATTTGCAAAGCATTATAGAAACAGACTTCGAAAGGCTGTTTTTCTTTCCCACAAATTCAACCATGTGGCCGACCCATAAAGTCAACAATGTATATGTGTATTAGTGTAGTGTATAGTAACTATACAAAGGTACAGTATTCCTTATCTGTCTTAAACCATTTAACAGCCTTACATTTTTTTAGACACGTGGCTTTCCATCCCTTTTTATTTATTCATTCCTGCTCCTCTCTACAGCTGTGTGAAATGGCCCTGTCCCATGGCTACCTCCCAGCTGTCTTCAACCGCCGCGGCCACAACGGCACCCCACTCACGACCATCAAACTCCAGCAGTTCGGCGACCCCTCAGACCTGCGCGAGGCGGTGCGCTACATCCGCTACCGCCAGCCTGCAGGAAGACTGTACGCGGTGAGCGAGAGCTCCGGGTCTGGCCTTCTCCTGTCTTACTTGGGGGAATGTGGATCGTCAAGCTACGTGACGGCGGCCGTGTGCCTGTCCCCCGTGTTCCGCTGCCAGAGCTGGTTTGAGAATGGGCCGTGCTGGCCCCTGCAGTGGGTGCTAGCTCTGTACCAGAAGATGTGTCTCAGCAGGTAAGAAGGGAGGGATGCACCTGAGGAAAAAGTCAGGATATAAATCACTTCCATATTTACATTGATCTGAGTCAACTATTCATTAGAAACTATTTTGGTTATTTTTACCATCATATATATCACACTAAGTGCGCCCAAGTTTTGTGTTCCTATCGCTTTCATGCCAAGTTAAAGTTGATGAAAACCCACAATCAGTCAGTAGCCAAAAGGTGGATTTATTCTCAAGTCGCTGGGCTTATTAAACCAAAGCCCTGCCTGCTGTGAGGTGAAAATACATTCTATTTACTCCCCCACTGCATTTGCCAAAATTGAAGGAAACTGTATTTCCCAATAGATTTCTGGATGGAAATACACTTTTATAATGCAAACGTTGTTATGATATGTTGCATTATTGTGAAGTCATGAGACTGTCGCCTGAAGAAAGCACTTTGTGCAATGTTAAATTTGACTTTATCACAAAAAATATGTATAGCTGTAATTTGTTAGCCAAGAGGGAGGATCTGCAAAATGGAGCTCGTCAAGCCAGCAGATGCAAGTACCCACACTCAATTTCTTGAAGGAGCACAAACAATTGGGGAAACAATTAAGTTACCAAGGCAACAGATGTCCTGCTTGTTGTCAAGCTATTGATTCTGAGGGTCATCGTGACCCAGGTGAAGTTTGTCAAATGAAGGCCATTAGGGAAAAGGAGACATGTGTAGCTCTCAGAATTGATTTTATGGCTTTCTTTTTTTAATGGCTGTATTTGTGATTGTATCCATTCTGTAGGTACAGGACTGCACTGGGTGAGATCATGCAAACGGATGCTCTTTTCTCAAGCTGTTCTCTGCGTGCTGTGGAGGAAGCGCTTTTCTCTCATAGTGGACGCGTGGGTTGTACACAGACAGTGCCAACCGGGACTGGGAACGGTTGTAGCAATACCTCTGCTGCCTGGGATGCTTACTGGGAACGCAACGAACCCTTACGGGACGTGGATGAAGTGGCTATTCCTGTTCTGAGTGTGTGCGCAAAGGATGATCCCATCCGCGGAGACGCCCAAACCACGCTACCTTTGGAACTCTTCGAGACAAATCCGCACTTTTTCCTCCTCCTGACCGAGCGTGGAGGTCACTGTGGCTTCTCCGCCCAGTCGGAGCGGAGGGCCGCCGGTGCACCGGCCGCTTTCGGCTCTGCGGCCGCCCCGCATGCTGCCACGGGGAGCAGCGATACCAACTGGAGCCACTTAGTCGTCCTGGAATTCTTCAGAGCGACCACAGACTTTTTCAATGCGGAGGAGAGAGCAAAGCAGCTTGCTGCAAAGAGGAGGGGGCTGGGGGCGGCCGGAGGAGGGAGAGCTTTCCGTCACCGCAGCGTCAGCACGTGTAAACGAGTACCGGCGTGTTCCCACAATATCCATGAGATTTACAATTGGCAGAGGTCCTACACACGATGAATGGAACTTAATGGAAGTTAGAGGTTTCTTGGGAAGTGACACCTGCATGTCTGAAGGTTAATAAAGACTGATGAGTGCACTTCTTCCTCATCAAGCACTTGAGAAGCTTTTGAACCATGCTCTCTTTGTGTCAGTTATTTCCATTTTGTAGGTTTCTGCATATTTGCTTTCAATATGTGCATATACACCTGTATATGAGTTGAAAAACAAGAATCCACTCCTTATACTACAACTAAAAACCTCCACTGGGCACTCTTTAAAACATGCACTGATGTTTTAAGATATAATAAGAATTTGGGAATCAAAACATTCTCCCTGTATGACAGTCAGCTATAAACAGTTTTGGTGAACATGGGTAAAAAAAAAAAGGGTTGGTGACGTTTGAGTGTTCAGACTTGTTTTAAAGACTACTGGCACTCAGTCTGTTATGTTTAACGGCTGTGAGGTCTTTGAACTTCATTATGGGTGGGTCTATATCATACCAGCTGATGCACATCCCTCAAATGCCAAACATAACTGTAATTATCTGCCTCACATGTCTCATGGTTTCTTACATTTATAACCACGTATGCAATGTTCACTACCAGATCAGCACTGTTGTTTGCCTTATTTGAATTCTTCTTCTGTCTTTGGTGAAATCTGTCCAGCAAGTTGTGTCGCTGGGATAGAAAGAAACCCTGTAAATTTCCTTTTATTTTCAGAATATTAATTTGGATTTGATTATCCACTGTTATTGTACATAAGAAAAAGTTTATTCACTGCATTGTTAAATGGCCTGAAAAAATGTCCTGTGATGCCCACAATAGAGGAACATATGTGTTTTTGCTACCTAGAAGCTTTCACAGAAAGTCTCTGCTATGTCCAGAGGCATTATGTCTTTCTCTGTCTTATTATTTAAATCCTCCAGTTGTCCAAAGGCGGTAGGTGGTGAGGCCCAGAGCTTCACTGGTTTCATTCTGAGATGGGGACATTAAGATTTTTTTGATGGAACATTTTTCCATGAACTTTTTGTATTTGTGTTCATTCTTGTGCTTGAAAAATAAATTATAAGAAAAATCTAAAACAAAGGAGTAGTTTTTTTCAGTTCACCGAAGGGAAGGGTTATGTGACATAATTAGTTATGAGTAGTAAGTGTCCTCTTGCCATAGACAAAAGTCAGTTTTGAGAAGAGTAGGCAGGAGAATTGAACTGTTTTGCCGAGCAAGGCTGAAAGAGATACATATAGTAGATTTTAAGCCACAGACTGGATTTGTTTAAAAAGAAGCCAAAAAAATGTAAAAACACAATTGTTGCATGACATAAACAGGTTTTGTAGTAATGCAAACTAACACCCAGACAACATCTTGCAAAAGTAAAAGTCTTCATAACTATTTCAGACAATGTCAAACCACCTTCTAAATATAAGACTATTTCCATTTTTTCTCAAATTGGCTAAGCCAATGTATTACAAATAAATTGCTAGCAAAGATGACAATTCTGCATAACAACAGTGCATTATGTCATCGCCAAGAGAAGTACATTTCCCTTAAATGCAAGCATATTTCATTTCTTGCTTTGTCTCGCAGACCTCACTAAAGGTCTGATCTGTGGTCTTGTCAAATCCCATCTTAGTCAGGGCTCACAGGCACTCCTTATTATAGCGCAGGCCCCACAGCCATTCCATGCCGAGTGGGTGTGTGTGTTAGTGTCTGTGCGACATTCACTGCAGTGTTTATCCACCCACTGAGCTTTATCCATCCAGACAGCTGGAACATAACAATGTACACACAGACACACACAAAAGTGTGCCGCCAGACACACTGTCAACTTACATCCTCCCCATATCACACACACACACACACACACACAGGCATGCAAACAAGCTGTTATATGGAGGATTTTCTTACACATTTTCATTATCTACGGGAGTCACAGTTTCATACAAAGTGTATATGCATTCACACACATTCATTGATCTCTTAACAAATTGCTTTCTCATTTGTGAAGATATCATTTTCTCATTTGATTTAAATCATACAATATCAAAATGGGTTTCATTTCCACTTTCTAAAAGCTGAATGTACACTTCTCGTGGCCATTAGGTCAAAAGCTGTCACATATAACATACGTGATATTCCTTGTGGTTATTTGCTTTTTATACCATCTTCCTCCCATGTACCGGCTTTTTCTGTTTCTTCTGGGTCAAAGCCCAGGATGGAAAATGTGGAGCGTGCACTTAAGTGCTAGGTCACGGTCGAATAGTCAATAGAATTACCTCTTAGTTCTGTTTTTCCCTAACCTTGTTGGAAAAGGGTCATGAGGTTAATGAAAACAGGTGGAAGAAAAGATGGAAAAACTAGGAAAATTAAACTGTCCACACATACACCAAGATGTGATGTGGTCTCTCATATTAAATTGACAGTTCAATGAATACTCTATGTGTATCTATACTTTGTCTCATGTAATTTCATCAGGTTGTCACAAAAGGAATTCATATCATATGCGTATCATAATAGTGTGGAAAGATGTCAATGTTAGTTTTCTGTTTTGGCGGTTATTCAAATAAAAAAACATGACACATAATGGAAAGATGTCACATTGCTCATAGTCATCCTGCTATGCTCATATTTGTTCATGTGAGAATAACAACTGGGAGACGAATGGGGAAGTGAATATCTTTTTCTTAGTATGAACAGCTCTTAACTGCTACTAAGAATATTTCCAGGTGATTTCAAATTACCCAGGAATTGTCAGAATAGCTACTATACAGGACAGACTCCCATCGTAGTGTTCGCCTTACACAACATTTTTAAATATTAAATGTCAGTGCAGAATATGTTTAAATACTCTATACTGTTCTTTCGAGAATATTCAGGGTGATTACTTTCCATCAAAATGACACATATTTTTGTTTCTTATTAAGTCCAATTTGCATCATCATGAAAACCTGTCAGGGGCATATTGTAAAAATGTTTGACTAAAACTAAGACAATGTTAAGAGATACAAGTCTGTTGCTGTTTTACTTCTGTAAATAAGCCCAGAGCCAATAAATTATAGGTATGTTAAATATAATCAATGCTTCATTGTTACTGACAGTAAACCTCATTATTTATTATCACAGGGAGAGAGTTTCCTCTCCATACATGATGGCTTTAATTGGCCACCAGAAAATTAAACCGTTTTTCAATTCAGACCCAACAGTCGGCTTTGCTGATCGAGGCTGATTTAATTAAAGTGATTGATACTCAATTAACAAACAGGCCTACAACCCCATTTGTGGGATCATTCTAAATTGTGCATTCTCTGATTCGAAGTTCATGCTGAAGGTGTGCATGTATAACAACATCAAATATCGCCTCTTAAAGAAACTATTTTTATGTTACAAAACCCATGGCCGATTATGAACCTTTAAAATGCAAACATTATATTGCGAGTCTCTGCACCTTGCACTTGCCTCTCAGAGCCAAATAATTCATTCTAAGGTTAATTTAAAGAGAAGGTTAATTGTTAACTTGTAGATGAACTGTGTGACATTCTATTGGCGCAGGTGAAATCTGACAAGATAAGAAACAGACTTCATAATTAATTTCATGACAAAGTCCTGCTGTTTTGTGGTCAAATTCCAAGGTTGCCCAAAAAACATAGACCAGAGTTCATTAAATTCATTGTCCACCACATTCACCTCTGTTGGAATTTAGCAACATGTTCCAAGCTTAGCTGAGCCTCTATAGCTAACTTCCCCTAATTCCTCGCTTACTTCTATCTAAATATTTTTCAGGAAAATTAGCTATAAAGCATCACCCAGCAAGAATCAGTTTCCTTGCTTCTATGTGGAACATAGCGTGTGTCTAATCTGAACCTCTGTAAACGTAAGCAGTGCTCTCCAGGTTCAAATTGGAAATCCACAACCATTGTACAGAAGACTGTTTTGGGTCTTGATATGTCTAATCACATTAAAAACAAGTAGTTGACATGTAAACAAGAAACACAACTTTTATTTTTATCAGATGAACACATAAAACATTGAAACTATCATGAATTTCCTCTTGAAATGTATATATTTCAGGTTTATACACAATACACAGTGTTAGTAGAAAAGATTATTCCATAGTATCAACATCACCGGGTCTAAACCTGTCAAAGCCAGAAACAATATGTCGTAACCATGAGCAACAAAACACTTGCATCTGGTCAGCATCACTATAACAAGTGTTTCTACTGTTTTCCATGGATACAAGAATTCTTCTGTGAACTGCGTTAATAAAAAAGGGGCTAACTAATAGGTGATGTGGTCAGAGCTTTCGTTTTCCCTTTCACAAAATTAGCAGGAGCGCCTGAGATTTTGAACAGTACACTTAGAAGAAACAGTCTGCTTAGAAGCATTACGTTATTGGTGTTCCTTAGAAGCCAAGGCAATTAAATGTGATCAGGCGGAACTCAAACCCAGCAGGCTGACACAGAACAGATGTTTGCATTTGGGTCAGTGATGGTTTGGATGCTTATGTGTAAATCAGAAGAGAGAGTTTTCTTGTGTTCTCTTCTTGGAATCAAAACGAGTTGTACTGTAGCATTGTGTGCTTACAGTGGAGGAGTTTGAGTCTATCTCACTTAAATAAAACTCCAGAGAAAGTGCTCAGGACAGACATAACATTTGATTATTTCGTTTCTCCGTGTTTATTGGATTTTGCTTTCCAAGAGTGTGTTCACTGTCACTCCTGCATGACATCCTTCATATCCGATCCAAAGGGTTTAGCACAAAAAACGCACTTTGACCCTTGCAGTGGTTTTGAGATTATGGAAAGTACCACATGCATTTTAACCTGTTGTTGTTCTTACATCTTTTCTGATCTAAAAAATCTTTTATTGGGCCACCTAAAAATTGGAAGCACAGTCATACCATCTTTTATAATCAGGCAGTTCAACACAATCCTGTATGTTAAGCCTGATACAATTAACACCATTAAACCATTTAGTTGTGCTACTGCTTTCACTGGGTTGAAATTCTTCCATTATTTTCTTTAAGCTAATGAATAACAATTTTTTTCCTTTTAATTACATAGGCCTATATGAAACGTTTACCTCTATAGTATGGACAAAAGAAACTGTGAATTATTTAACCTGAAGGAATTAATTAAATAGCTAAATAAAAACAAAGGAGACCAGAACCAGTTCCCCATCTCTGTGTGGGTTCCCTTTAGGTACTCCGGCTTCCATCCACTATCCAAAAACATATCAAGTTAATGGAACACTCTAAATTGCCCCTGGGAATAAATGTGAGTGTGTGTGGTTGTTTGTCTCTGTGTGGCTCTGCGATGGACTGGCAACCTGTCCAGGATGTACACCGCCTCTCACGTATCGTCAGCAGGGTTAGGCTCCAGCACACCATGCAATCCCACTAGAATTAAGCGGCATAGATAATGGCTGGAAGGATGCAATATGAAAATAAGCAGAACAAAAAAAGGACGCTGCCAAAGGAAAGTTTATTTGGTACAGTGTCTCCATCATGTGGATATGTGTTGGAAAACAATTGATTCAGTGGAGTGTGAGAGAAACTTAATGCAGCTTCTGAAATCCTTTACTTTACAATGTAACTGGAACACTTATGAAAGATGCGGAAAAGAAAAAAACAAATACTAAGAAAGGTCAAACACGACATAAAGGATGAAGCATGAAGCTGAATAAAGAAAAACATTGTTGGAAATTAGGAAACCAAATAAAACATTTAATAAAACACTTAATCTTGTGGAAATATTAGGCAATTTTGTAGGTGTTTGTGAATTGTTTTTCTTGTTTTCTGACAATTCTCCTGTCAGTTGAAAAGCTTATGTGACAAATGTATTCAGTTTTGGTAAACAAATCTGATGAGCATTCAACCATTGATAGGTCTAATACTGACAACTGACATGTGCTTCCAGCTTAGATGCTTTTAGCTTATTAAAATCAAATGTCACTATAAGGGTTTACGCTTGTCTTTAAACAAATTTAGTTTTTTTTGTGTTAATCATCACATTACCCATGTCATTAATGACAGGATCTTTAATCACTGAAGCGCTCAGATCACATCCTCCTTCAGGGCAGCTTCACATCCCCTTACAGCCATTTAAACGTG